GGAACAGAGTCCTTTATTTGCTGGCATTCTTGACTTTTGACTGCAGTTCTTTTTTATATTTGAGAGTAAATTCTTCTGATATGCTCTTAGGTTGCTTAATATCCGTCTGAAATTCTGGACTGTGGTCATATTTTTCGATTAGGAGTCGTATATTTAAATAACTCACCATGACTAGTGTTTTGCATTATGAAGTATATTGTTATGAAGGTCAACACACTGCAATTTAGGTAATTATTTACCATTTCGTTATTTCGCTTTCCAACATTTACAGGAAACGCTTCATTCTAGAAAATGCTATCGCAAAACGGTTGGAAATAAAAAATGTAACAGCAGAATACGTCCTAGCACAGTCACTCTACTAGTAGAGTGACTGTGGTCCTAGTAATAAACTAAGTGACTTCTAAAGACTGAATGGTGTTTGCGAACTTCGTATTAGTTATAAATTGACGTTAGCTTCACGTTTATGTCACACCATGGAAACAGCCAACAACATGTTGCTTGTTTTTGAGCGGAGCGGATCGCCAACCAGCCTACCGGCTTGTTTTAGTATATATTTGCATATTGCAGATTGTGAATCATAAATAAAATAACATGTCCAATAATATGAAGTTATCAGAAGAATACCGCATAGTAGATGCATTTCTATACTGCCTGAATGCATATGCAGTATTCTCATAATAATCTTATGATTATCTTTTCCCCAATTTTTAAAGGTCAACCACTAATAGTATTACTCCAAATAATTTCTAAAAGAGATTACGTATTTACCATTCACTTGTAGGCCCATAAACTGTTCAGCTTTCCCTGCTGCATTTTCTGCAATGCATTTAAACATTCCTGTATCTTCCCTTCGTGCAAATGGGATCTGCAATGCACCCGTTGGCAACATTCTATACCGCATATCATTATGGGATATGTCTTCGTCTTTTATCTGCCATCGTATTTCCGGTGCTGGTGTTCCCGTGGATGTACATTCCATTGTCACTTGTTGGTCTTCTATCACCACAAACTGTTGGAAAGATTCTTGAATTGTAGGTGGCACTGTAAAGACAAGAAGTAGGTTGGTTAATAAGGTTAATATGATACTAACCATCACTACAAATGATATGATGGTATATATGAGCACATGGTAAGTTAATAAGGTTATTATTATACCAACACTACCAACAAATATGAATGCATGAGGTCCTTGCTGCTTAATAAGGTTATTATACTAAACATCACCAACAAGTAAGATGGTAAGATGGTATGAATAAGGTTCTGGCTAGTTAATAAGGTTAATATGATATTAACCATCACTACAAATAGTATTGGGGTATGTATAAGGTCCTGGCTGCTTACTATGGTTATTATTATACTAAATATCACCAACAAACAGTATGGTGATATGAATGAGGTCCTTGCTGCTTAATAAGGTTATTATTATACTAAACATCACTAACAAATAGTATGGTGGTATGGATGAGGTCGTTGCTGCTTAATAAGGTTATTATTATACCAATGATAATGGTACAACCCATCCGTCACTGATACAGATCTAGGTCATGACATCACTAAAAACCCAAGCGTTACAATCTAAGCTAATTATTTATTCTCAGCATGCTCAGTTGCTTTGTCAGTGCAATGGGGAGAGTTAATTTTGGATGAAAATCTTGAAAAAGACCCACTTAGGATTTTCATATCTGGAAAAAAAAATTATGTGCATATTCGACAGAGACTTGTTCATCAACCAGCCATCGATATCTGCTGCAGAATTTATGAGAAAATGTTGGAGATGGAAAACGGAAAATGGATATTGACAAAACCTGTTTTAGAAAGTCCCCTTTTCAAGCTGTGCTTGAATAGGGACTAATAAGGTCCTGGCTGGTTAATAAGGTAATTATTATATTACACAACACCAACAAATGGTAAGGTGGTATGAATAAGGTCCTGTTTGTTTAATAAGGTTATTATTATACTGTGAAATACTTTATTTCAACTGGAATTAATTTTCACTGAAAAGAATTTTTAGGTGTTTTGCATGAAGTTTATTTTTAGTGATTTTTGATGAATTGAAGGTAAAGTAAAGAAAAAAAGTTATATTCACTGGACCGAATAATCCTGTCAGCGAAAATAAAGTATTTTACAGTTCTGACCATAACCAAAAAATGGTAGACAGTATGAATGAGGGCATACCTGGTTAATAAGGTAAATATTATACGTCCACCACAAGAGAACCTGTTTAGTTAATACCGTTAATCTGATGCTGACCATCATAACAAATAGTAGAAGATATAAATGAGGATTAAGCTGGTTAATACTGTTACTATGACTCTAACCTTCATCACAAATAGTATGGCAGTATGAATCAGGTCCTGACTGGTTAACAAGATTAATATGACACGAAACATCACAACAAACAGTTAAATTTTAACAGTTTAATACAGTTAATCTAATCTTAACCATAACAACAAATGAAATTAATAACCAGAATGTTTAATAAAGTTAATATGATATTAAAATATGATACTCAAAATACCATGACAGTTTAAATCAAAACTTGACTGGTTAATAAGGTTAATACTAGCTACAAATAGTTAGACTGAATGAATGAGGATACTAACCATCACCATGAATGATATGGCAAAAAGAATGAGAACCTAACTGGTTTATAAGGTATAACCATAATTTATTACAATTTTTTAATAGAAATAGAAACTTTATATGAACTCTCGCGTGGTGCCTGTTTGGGACTAGTTAACATTGTTTTTATTCTATGACTTTCTTTGTTCTGTGATTGTAACAAATGAAAAAAGATTTCTCACCTTGCACTTGTAGTTTAATCTTCTTATAAGCTGCTCCCGCTGGATTTTGCGCTACACAGTTATAAGCACCAGCATCTGAAACGCTTGTAGATCGTATACTTAATCTACCATCATCATGTAGAACATATCCTGGTGTATTGTCATCTATGACATTACCACCTCTGTGCCATATTATTTTCGGTGGCGGGGTTCCACTAGCTCTACAGATCAAATCAACATGGTCACCTTCAATTGTTCTGATGTCTTCAATTCTGTCCTCTATTGATGGTGGTACTGTCACGAAAAAAACATTCAAATTAAAATGTAAGAAAATTATAATTTATTCTATTTATAGTCTACTATTTCTACATGAAAAATTGCAAAAATATTTCAATTTTTTTGTAATAATGTTACATTTTATTTGAAAAAAATACTTGAGTTAGAATGGTTGTAAGAAAATTAATTCTTTGAGTGCAAAAAGTCAACTCAAGCACCATCCACAAAATAGTTCCATTTATAGCTCCTTTCTACATGAAATGTTGCAAAAGTTTTAACTGTTGTTTTATAAACAAGCAGCCTGTCGGCTGAGATAGCTCTGCTGTTAGCAATGCACATTTCAATTAAAGAACTGAAGATATTAGAAAATGAACAATATGTATAGTATCAAAGCAATCGGACTTGCTGTTTTCGGCAAGAATTTGAAAATTACAAAACAAATTCATTAAAGTTAGATAATTGAAGATATAAAACAATTGGACTTGTGGTTTTTAACAAGAAGTTGAAAATTTCACTTTTTACCAAAAATGACAAAAATATTCACCAAAATTAGAAAATTTAAGATATCATTACAAAATGAACAAATCTAATAGAGGAACACATGTAGTACCTATATATGTAATATCAAAGCAATCAGACTTGTGGTTTTTAACAAGAAGTCGAAAATATCACTTTTTTACCAAAAATGACATAAATATTCACCAAAATTAGAGAATTAAAGATATCATTACGAAATGAACAAATCTGAGAGAGGTCTACCCAAGATACATAAACACCAAGTATCAAAGCATTCAGGCTTGTAGTTTTCAAGTAGAAGTTGACAAGTCATTGTCAATGACACGTTCCCGTTCCGTTCATATTTGAGTGACATATACATTCAAAGCAGATCATGACCGAAATGCACCTGCATATGTACAACACATTGTACTAAATCTGAACAAAATCCATCCATGCATGACCGAGATCTGGTTCCGGAATTGTGAAAATATGTGATTTTGATGCATTTTCGGCCTTAAAATAGCCATCATCAGCTAT